CATCCCCAATCTTTGCTTTCCAATTACAAGAAATATGACAGACATTTCCTAATCACTCAGATTCCAATACTCAGAGCACACATACAGATTTCTATCTTGCATTTCTACACGTTTATTTTCAGCAGTGCACACGTCTGCTGAGATGTGTGACGTTATAACCCCTATCTGCACTCTCTGCAAGAATTCAGTGAGTTAAAGGAAAATAGCACCATCGAGACTGAGTGTGGCTATGTAGGCTTGCTCAGGGATAGATGGAGTGGCCATTGAGATTAGGTTTTTGGGTTGTTGTTTTTTTGCCTATTAACACTTCGTTTTATAGCCACAAGCTGAACCAAGTGGGCACTACTAAATGTTAACATTTACCGTTTTCTCTGACTGGTGATTACACACACATAAAATCGTACCTGAAATAAATGGAAATGGATGCAAACATTGTCAGACTTAGAATTTACAGGTGTACAAACATTGGCATTAAGTCGTATGTGATTTGTGATTTTGAAGACAATATTATTTAAGCTAATTAGGGCCTAGGTTACCTCTGTGAGTCTATCACGCCATGTGTACCTGCTGTTAATGCAGTATCAGGCTACCACAAAAGATACCACTTTGCACCTGATTCGAGAAATGATTATTATTTTAGTCTTTTGATTTTTCAACTATGACCCATCAAATTCTCTTTACTAACGAAAGCGTTACAGTAGACCAATGCAAAGCTAATGCAACACCTCTGAAGATAACAAAAGTTACAGTTATTGTAGCCATGACCATTTTAGACGCTCAAGTTAGTTATTCTGCTGATCGTATTGTGTTAAGGTTTGCTGCAGAAGTTAAGGAGAGTGTACCAAAAGACTGGCATTAGCGTATTAAGGGTAGGTGCAGTAAATGCTCACCTCAGAATGAAACCACAACACTGCGGTAAAACCACATTAACTGCTACCGAAAGAACAACCAACCGACTGGATAACGTGTAACGTTGCTACACGGGCATTGGTTGATTTAATGCCAAGTAGTAAAAGAGAAGTTTCAGTGCAAATGTTCATTACATTTGGGTTTGTGTGTGCCGACAGTGTCGAGGCCTTTACCTTGTCCATCAGACGTTGACAGTGCAGGTGAATTCAGCTTCGGCCGCTTAGAGAGTGGAGGTCCGGCGTCCAGCAGGTTTTCAGCCATAGTTGAAATCTTGCCTGGCCGGTCGCTTAAGTTGATGATTCTGATTAGCTTATTAGTAGAAAGTTGTTCAATCACCAAAAACCTTCCCGGTTAGCACGTTAGCAAGCTGACAGCCTGCTAACGTTGGCTAACTGGCTAATAGCTAGCTAATTGCCTGCTACCAGCTAAAGTAACTGTTAGCGTTTAGCTACTCCTCGCCGTGAGAGTCAGTGTCTTTTAAAAGAGATGCAATAGCGCCCCGCTTCGCCACCGCCATTCACCCCATGATAATCCAACACCCAACACCCACATTATTATCGTTAAATACCCCAAAATAAAATATTCCCCATGTAAAAATCGAGCCTCACACTGACGATCCAGTTAAATCAGGTGGATTGCTGCATTCCGGGAGAAAAGTCGTAATTTCTAGATGTTCAAAGTACCCATTTTGCGTGACGTCAAATTTCTTCATGCAAAAATCGCGCGAAGCTCCACAAAAATGCACAATTGCATAAAAATGCCGTATTTTTGCAAATCTCTTCGAAAGTCACGATCTGCTCACCGCTTGCCCACGGTAAACAATACTGCTCCCGAACGGCGACAGGGGCTGAATCACCGCACTCTGAAGGGGAAATCAGATATACGGAGCTTTTCTGCCCGACGACCACCAATCCAATTCCCGTTTTTTCGCACAAAATGTCTCCGAAGCGATATTACGATTTCGTTTTCGGCAGAAGGCCGCTGTCATATCACGGGAAGGATGCTCGATTTCTACGTAAAACCCAGTGTTGGACCGAAATCCTAATTCCGAGCCACGACAAGATGGCGGCTGTTGATTCCTTCGGTACAAAAAAGTTTTTTTTTTCTTTTCCAGATCGGCTGTAGAGGGGGAGGGGCCGCGCATTCACGCCCTACGTGAAAACACCGTCACCACTGACCGCTGGGGGCGCTACAGCACAACCAGTGATTCACACATGCACTTTACAACCCATTTGATCCCATCTTTTTTTTGTAAACTCGGGGCAAAATATATACATTAATGAATAAAAAATATCTTTTTTAAGATGTTAACTTAAATATTTTACCTTATTTTTACAAACTCACGTAATTTTTTCTGGAAAAAAGAAATTAGATATAAAATGTACATTTCAAGGATCTGAATTTCCTTTATTAACTGGAAAAATATGAATCTCTGCATCATATAGGAGTTTTCCCGTCTACAATAAAAAAAAATACTTAAAAGTTGTCAGTTTCTAGCCACTTTTATTTGTCATTTTTGAAATCGTGTTTTACTAACCTTCTTTTAAATTTGTTAACAGTTTGCAACAAATTATTAAAACATACCTTCTTGCAGTTAAAATGCACTTGGTTAATATAAACTGCGCCCCAACTTCAGTCATCAGCTGGCTGCTGATGAAGATCACAACCCTGTCTCCAATTTTGAGACCTTTTAGGTTAGGCCTAATCCTCCCTAAAACCTGGCTAATTTGCATGTTGCCTTTTTGAGAATCTCTAAATTGCTTCCCTCACCTCTTATTTAGTTTTAATAATACAAAACTAAATGACAGTACAGTCTGTCATCACTCATTATATGCACAGAAATTCAACTCTACGTGACTTTACACGTTACAGTATGCTAGACAGTCCAAGCTTTCCACTTGGAGATTTATTTCTCTCATACTGAAAAAAAGAGGAATAAAGTCATATAACTCACACATAAGCAAACACACACACAAAAATCAATCTGATAATACGTGTCTCTTATTCATTGTTTTTGGACAGAATCTGACACATGCACATGTATAAAAAAAAAAATCATATGTGACAAAATAACTGCATATGTACAAACACTGAGTGCTTTGTGCAAATGTGTACAGATTACTATCACGTGTTGATAAATGATACATGGGTAATGTGCACAAAACGTACATTATACATCTCATTCATGAACATAAAACAAATACATTTCAAATCAAACAACACTGTTTAAAATCTGTCCCAGTGTAACTTAGAACACATACGGGTAGAATTTACTTGCAAATTATAATGAAAAGACGTGCAGCTGACATAATTTAAAATGAGTGACAATGTGATGCTTAAGTGCTGACACTCTATGCCTTTATGTATTTCCCTTATTTCTTTCATAAAGCAGAATCACACTTCTCCAAAAGGAAAAGAAAAAAAAAGAGATGACTGAATGCCATGAACTTATCCTTTTTTAAAACGGGAGAACTAGCTTCTGCCAAAACTGAAACAAATCATTTATAAATACACTGTCAAAGAAGGACAGTATTCAGGTAATGAGCAAAACTTAGTGATTTGAATTTCCTGAATACTGGAAATATATGCATAATAATTAACATATATGTAGAATGACATTGAAATGAAATAGGATGACAGTATAGTACAGAATCAAACAAAAAATAGGGAGACTAGCAAAGAAGGAAACTACTCACATGCAAACAAGTCTCACTCACACACATCTCCCCCTACTGCACCCCAGATCACATAAGTCAGCAGCGTGTAATATTTTATTCATATGTGTGTGTACAGATTAGTGCTACTGGAGAGGATGTGTACCCACAAACCTGTGGAGTTCTTCCTACGCCACCTCAGATCTATGGCGAGTTAGTGTCACTGCTGTGCATGGTAGGGCTGCAGGCACATGGCCTGAAAATCCCATAGATCATCTAACAACGCAAGGCAACAAGACGGTGAACTTTCCTTCACAGCTGATACTCGATATTCTCCTTTATTTGTGTTACATTGTGTGCTATGCTTCATTAGATTTGGCAAACAAGAGCAAGTGGAGAAAATGTACAAGTAGTGTAAATCTTTCAAAAAGTAATGATTCTGGGCAACAAAAGCAGGACTCGTTTAACTATTTCAGCGTCTGCAGTGACGGCTTCTGGAGAAACCTCTTTGGATTTTCAGGGTACTAATGCTGCAACGATTATGAAAGTTGATGCTATGATTAAACATAGTCCACATTCAAAAGGCACAGGCTGTGTACGTCCAGAGAGCTTAGTGAAAGAGGTAAATAAACATGTTTTGCTACAGGTCCCGACAGCTACATAACTCATCCTTCTTGTCATTTTGGCATTTTTGCATGTGAACAGAGAAAGTCCATCTAACCCAACTGTTGACTAATTTTTTTAAACATGTGGTGGTGAAAGCTGAAAATGAATAATCTATGGATAAGGCAATAGCAAACTGTCCCCATTTCGATCTTTTTTATATGATTGAGTTGACGTAAAACCTTATATTTCTCACACACTTAGGAAATATAAGAGAGAAACACGTACTTTCAGGAGAAAAGACAAAGCACGAAGTGAGGAAAGAGAAAAACGAGCAAGCGATTTAATGGGAGCACCACCACACTTTTCCAGATGGCTGGTCTGTGTCAGGAGGAAAGAACTGGAAAGAAGCACAAAAAAGTATCTGGAATTTATCAAAAAAGAAACAAAACCTGCACACAATGACCATTAATTTTCTCAAATATACAATCACAATCTATCCTCTGCGTAATGACAGCTTGGTAAAAAAAAAAAAAATGAAAGAAAAAAAACTTTCTGGAAACCAAAAACTAAAAAAAAAAGAAAAAAATACAGTCATACTTTCAGGCACCACAAACAATCAGCTAGATTAGGCTGCACTGCACCTATAATCACTCAATTAAAGTGGCACAATTTTATTGATTCAGTAGAGGCCCCGATTGGTGAAAAGACTGACAGGATCAAGGTAATACGTCCCAATCTTTCAACAGCAAATCACAAAGATAAAGGCAGACGACAATGATCTGTTGGGTAATTTGCACGGATGGGCTGACCATTGTTTATATATATTTTTTCTTTTAGCAATGAAGGCAACGGAAATTAAAGAAAAGTCACAAGATTTGAGTCTGAGGTTTTACACACAGTACTGTGGAAACTGTCACTCATCTCTAAATTTAAACCCACGCCAACAGCCTGTGGACCACCCCATCACTGACCAAGAACTACGCAGTGACTGTCCCTCACAGTCCCATTTAAAGTTATACTTCACCTGAAATCCTTCGAGTGTCAAGCGCTCACCTCATCAGAAGACAGGAATGGTGATATTCTGCATTTGACTTATTGACTCCAATGAAAACAACATTAAAGCTGCCAATACTGCCAATACTTGCAAGTATCATACTACCTCCCAGCATTATTAGGACTCTCTTATAATTAATAATGAGTGAAATCTGTGTTGTTGGTGTGGATGTTAGTACGGTAAATGGGAGTAATCAATTTATGGTAGTTTGAATGAGTGATTCTTGTATTTTGGCTATTTATCAGGATTCCAGCAGGAGCAAATGGGAGAGTGGCTGTATTCAGAGACAGGCCAACACGCTGCTGACTTCCTCTTCACTCTTTTCATTTGGTCAAAACAAAAATACAAAATATCACCAGACAGATATTTGGTCTTCCAAGCAGGAGTGGTTCTGATCAAAGAAAAAGCTGAAATATCAGCTAGCTCGCATCGAGACAATTTTACACTACCTGTAAAATTGGACATGTGTGCGAGAGGTGAGCGTTTAATACCTGAAAGACAGATCCCACTATATCTAAAGTGCCTTCCTGCATTTGTGATGGTCTCACTTTTTCAAACCACCTTTCTTCCAGATCTATAGTCCCTTATCTGATTATTGTCCTTTTGATTCTCTCAGCTCTGTTTAAAGTTTCTTAAAAGCTATTTATTGGTAATAACTACTGAATACAAGTGGTCGAAAAAAAGAAAAACACTGTGCAAGACCTGTGCTTAAAATGTGCATTGAGCTGCTACACAAACTAAAATCTCTGCAGCCTGCATGTCCCTTGAAAGTGAGACTCTGGCACAAATGAATACTGTATTAAGCCCTGATGTCAAAGCACAATACATAAATTAACACTGCTTCATGTGATTCCCTCATTCTTCCCAAAGTTTCCTGCTCCGCCTGTCATTCTGCATTGGCACTTATATAAAATCGAAAATAATTTTCCCTTAAGTAAGGTCGGGACTTTGATCAAGTTAAAACAGTTGATATGGCACGACAATAATGATTTCTGTAAGAAATACTTGCATTCAAAATAAAAGCATGAAAAAAAGAAACCACAGCATATTCTGTAGTCTAACATTGTTAAAACTTGTTCAGTATTCATATTTTTGTTCACTGTTCTAATCCTGAAGGCACTTAATGACAAAAGCATCAACAACAACAACATCAACAGATCCCTCTTTCCCTTTTCAGCTTGTTCGCCATCATAAACTGCTGTGCTCAACACAGGTAAAACCCGCCCCAGGACTCAGGAAAGACATCAAGTACAATCTTATAGCCACTGGATCCACTGGTTTTGTTTTTGACGTGACCAGTCTGTCTTCCATGCCAAAGACACTTGCTTAAAGGAAAAGACATCCCGCCAACATCGGTAATCAGTCCTGGGGAGGCAGCAGCTGGGGGCAGTAAGAGGAATAGAAGACAGCGGGAGGAGACAGAAGGGATCAGAGGCGAGCATAAAACTCCTCATTGAGTTTAGTTAGCTCATTCGCTTCCTCATCTTCATCCTCCTCTTCTTGAAGCGCGAGAGGAGCTGGCTGCACCTGGGAGGGGCCTTGTGTACAACTGGGCTCTGGGCCTAGTTCAGAATGAGGAGGGGTGTGAACGTCTGTGGCAGGGGGCTGTCCAGCGTCCCTATATCCTTCCTCCCTCACTTCTGTGGGCTTAACTGAGACAGGCTCAGTGCCTACTTCTGGAGGCCTTACAGCATATTGGGGTTGAGTAGAGAGTGTGGAAAGAGAGGAGGAGGGAGGAGTGGAAGAGGTGGAAGGGGCAGCCACAGGCTGGGCAGCTGAAGTCTCTCTGGCAGGTAATACCACGGACGAGGGTCCAATTCTGACAGCCTGCTCCGCTTGATCCTGGTATATACTTTCCCCACTTTTTGGGTAAAGGAAAGTCCTCATTTGACCTTTGCCCTTAACATTCACAGTACCTCTATAGTCAAACTCTAAACCCATGGCACTGAGCACAGCATGGCTTTCCTCGCTCACTTGCACCCGACACTCCACGCCGGTGGAGTCCATGCGACTGGCAATGTTTACTGTGTCTCCCCAGATGTCATAGAGCAGCTTTGTGGTGCCGATGACCCCTGCCGTCAGGGGACCATGGTTAAATCCAATGCGGAGCTTGAACCCGAAGCCTAGCATGTTCTTGTTGAAATCATCCAGGACTCCCATCATCTCAAGGGCAAAGTTGAAAAGGGCCATGAGGTGAGCATGCGGAGAATCCGATTCATTCTCAGCCATCTGCTCGACGTTCAGTCCCGACGCAGCCATGTAGGTGGCCCCGATTGTCTTGATTTTTTCCACGCTTGAGAATTCAGGTTTGCGAAGGAGTTCGTCAAAGTCTCCAATCAGCTCATTCAGGACACGGTAGCACTCTTTTCCACCTTCGTAGCTCTCTTCATAAAACTCACTGAAGTTCACAATACTGGCAAAGATCACACCCACACTGTCGTGGTTCTTGGAGTAGCTCTGGGTCACCTGAAATATATGGAGAGAAGAGGCTCACGTTATAATGAACTCACAAGAGAGAACTATCTTCAACTGTAGTCAATAGTTTGAACGTGTGTATACATGAGATTCAGGGTGAATTTAGATTTCATTGTAAATGAACACAACTGCCATTTTTTGCTCATTAACTGATAAAACTACTACTGCTGTATTTAGCCAGGATTTGCTTAATAATGGTTGATTACAAAGAATAAAAAACAAGAAAATGTTTATTTATTGATCAGTATTTAGAGGATTAAGTTCAAGTTTAATAGTTCATTTAAATGGCAACAAAACCTTGAGCTGGTCAGCGACATGGATGGGGATGATGTTGCCGAGTAACCACTCAGCCTGATCTCGCATCATCTGGATCTTGGTGCGGTGCTTGTCAGCCTCGACGTTGCCATGGTAATGGAGACGGTAGCTGATCTCAAACTCGCGGTTGAGGAACCACACCAGGAGAAGAAGCAAGAAGAAGGCCAGGATGGCCTCTGAGATCAAAAGGTCAGAAAACATCTTAGGACCATTTTCTGAACTGCCGTCAATCAATGTTGAGGTGTTTGGTCTGTGGAAGAAAATGATGGGAGAATCAGAAAAGAATGAGGGACATATGGGAGAAATGATCAGATGAGAATTGAAAGACAAAAGATGGTAAGGCAATTTCTGCAGCCATTTCTTGGAGAATCTACGACATAGCATCTTAATAAAGTTTTAACATATATCTTGCAGTTCTTAGCCCAGTTTTTAAGTTGCATGTGCTTAATCCAGATAACGTGCAGTAATGCTGGGAAATTTTGGTTTAGCCTTAATCAAATTTGATTTAAGAATCTAAGAGTCCAAACGTTGCCAAAGAGCAAGAGTATAATTTTGGACTTGCACTAAAATTCTGATTTATTGCAGAGCAGCCAGTTATAACTTCCCAACCACTGTTTATCTGCAGTTTAATTCATTCTGGAAGATTTAGAAACTAGACTTGAGTTAAAGAAGATGAAGGCTGATTGAAAGTGATTTTCATCCAATCACTTTATGGATTTATGTGACAGATAAGAAAATTCAAGGAGTTATGCCTGGTAAATTTTATCTGATAATGCACTTTAGCTAAAAACTGTAATTAGCACTAGAATAAGAAAAGTTATCCTCAATGTAATATTATTTGAGGGGTTATTTATCATCATCACCTCAATGCAGAACATGTGGAACTGATGATGTCGAGATGTTCTGATGTACAATTGAAATTCAGTTATTTTATCAAGACGAAAGAATGAGGGAAAAAATTTCTTGTGTGTGATCTGTGTCATATCTTACACAAACTCTGTGAATACATTGAATGCATAACGCATGGGAACAGTTTGTAAAGCAGGTGTGCAGCACAGTATTTGTTCTAAGTAACCACACCTGCAGAGATTGTTTTGCATAGGGCTATGTGAGTAACAGGCAAAACAAGAGGTGCTTTGTTTTCAGCTTTGCCTTCCTATGAGTCTCAATTTCTGCTGCAACATTCAGATTGTTCAATCTGTTGTTGGTGTAATGGTGTGGGGAGCTCTTCTTCACACGGTACAAGTTTAGCACTGTTTAAATGCCACAGCCTACCTGATTATTTTTGCTGACTGTGCCCATCTCTTTATCCAAGCTAGTACTATCAAAGTATACCCAATAAAGTGGCCAGTAAGTGCATAACTATTAACTATAATATCCTGGGGAAAATGCTTTTTAAAACCTTATTTTTGGGCAAAGTCATATACGTTTTTTAACATTTTTTTTCGTCTTTTTAACTCAGATTTGACTGGTGATTCTATACATGCAGTTTTATGTCCTGATGAAAATGTAAATTAAAGTGAATTTGCATAAAACTTCAAAATAGCTGACCTAACAACGGTCTAGAGGTGTTTCTATCCCCAGATTTTTTTAATGTTAAGTTGCTAAGTAACCACCAGCTGCTGGGCTACTGGCAAAGGTGGATGCTGAAGTTTTTCTTGCAAAAAACATACCAACGCTTTATGACCCGTGTCTGTATACAATAACTGCATGCATCTCACGCAAAGATAAAAAAAAAAAGAAGAAGATGATCTCCGTGCCACATACTTTCATGTCTGGTGTAGCCACTTCCATTGATTATAATAGAAGTAAAATGCATACTTTAGGCATTCAGTGTAACCACAGTAAAAGGCTGTGGCCCACACTTATCCATCACTGATGGGGAGAAAAAAAATTACGGAGAATTTCTCTGTTTCAGCTTGTTTTTGTAATTCCCCTGATAAAACTAAAATAAAAAATGCAATGTTGAAGTTTACATATCCAACTGTAATATAAACAGGTGCCAACAAAGACCAAAGAATACAAAGAAACAGTTCTCTACTTTCATTTTTTTCTACTGCGGCCTTGATTAAGGCTTAGTTGTAGCCCTCATACAAGATTTAAGCCAGCATGAGCTGCATGAGTCATTTCCACCACTATTGGCATTTGCAGGCATTATTACTGCAGCACACAAAGAGGAAAACAGAGGAAGAGAGAGAGATGGATAGGAGAATAAAAAAGCATGACCGTGTGAGCATAGGTTAAAGCTAGAGAGAGCTGTAGTTATGAGTAGAGAAAAAAAAAAAGCAGTCGCTCCTGTTAACCCTTCAAATGTCAGTCATCAATCAAACCCCTCTGTTTCCACGGAGACACTCACCCTTGAACTGGTAAGCTGTTATTACTCGAGCTGAAAGACACAAGAGTGGTGTCAGTCAGAAGACCAGTCAGGAGCAGTCACACACATGCACACAAACAAAAACAACACGCATGCATGACAGCATATAATCAGGGGTTAAAGTGGGCAGAACAAGCCAAAATGGTGTTTCGATATCTTCAATTACAGAGTAATTAAATACGATAGGTGGCTTAATGCACCACAATATCAAGCAGGATCATGTTTCATTTGCTATAGTATGGGGTTCCTTCTAGCTGATGCCAGGAAGATACTCAAGAAATCAAAAAGTAACATCACCCCATCATTATTTGGCGAACTAGCGATATGCTAACTTATTTTCAAAATAGTAGATGGGTGGTTAAAAATCCCAAACTCTATAGCATCATCACAGGTCAGCTGATCACAGCCTTTCCAGAAAGAAAGCAAATGTACTTGAGCTCACAAAACAAATGAATTATAAATTATTCTGAGGAAAGACATTTTTCCTGATGAACTGCTTCACTGGATCTTGAGTGCCATTTGAATTCCTGCATATGATGTAGATATTCTTATTTCTGTTGCAGAATCTGCTACAGGTACATTGCTTAAAAACTACCAATTGAAATCTGAGCCACAAACAAACAGGGCAGACTCAGTGCACCAATGCAAACCTCTTTCTTTAGCATTAAAAAAAGGAATTATTATTATGTACTAAAGAAGTTCAGTGTTAATTTTGAGACTAAAAAGCAATAATTGCAATAATTTTTGTAGTTCTATTGGTTACATGATGGTTTGGTTTTTTTTAGAAATGTATTTTTTCCCAAAATGCAAATTTTGCAGGTGAGTGCATTTAAAATTAACAATACAAATGCTATTTAAAAAGGTCAGCAGGAGGCAATTAACTGCAATAAAGTGCTAAAAAAAAAAAAAAAGAAAGGAAAAAGCCTGCCTTCTTTTGTGCCTGGTGTGGAGGTGATAGTTACAGCTCAAAGTGTTAATTTGGAATGCCAGGGGGAGATATTATCGGAGTGATAATTGGCACGAGAGAATGGTTGGCATGGAAGCGCCATGTAAAACTTTGGCTCGCTCCTCTAGCTCTTTACTGAGCGTTTGTCCTGAATGTTTAGATCTGAGTCCCACATCTTTCTGGTCCTCTGTAATAGTGGCATTTTATTGAAACTGAGAAGAAGTCATCTCACTGCAAATACAAAATGCATGCATGCTATGGATGTTTTAAAGGCAGCAAAGTTACGTTTTTACAGCGAGCAGAGCAGTTTGCGCCATAGATTTTTAATCCTGTACACTGAGATCAGTTCATAATGGAGCACAAAAGCCTCTGCGGTGTCTCTCTGCATACACAGATGCCCACAATGTCACAAACTCCCTCATGTATTTTGCTTTTTTCCCCTCCTCTCCATCAGATCAATCACATAATATAATGAAATGTGCAGCTATTAATGCGACTCGGATTGGAAGCATGCAGAAAAAAGCAAGAGCAATGTGTGCATTTACAGATGAGGCACAGCTGCAGTAACTTCATTAAGGGTGGATTGCAAATAACCTTTTATGCTCTTCTCTACATCCTGCAGGTCAGCTGTTATACACAGGTGCCGTGTTTGAAATAAAGCTGAATAATGCTTGAATAACCTCTGGATGACTCCTACACGTCACCCGAGTTCTCCGCTCTCCCCTCCGCAAAAGTCTCCATCGGTTTCTAACAGAAGACTTCTCCCTTTTCTATCAAAACACATTGATTATTCTCCCGCTGACTCTCACCGATCTGAACTGCTGTTTCTGGAGAGAAAATGTGGAATACCTCCACTTACACTGTGCCATTTTAGTCAGTACATTGTACATTGAGGATTATATGTAGTGAATATATGCAGAGATCTACAGACTAAACACAAAAGGTGCAAATTTGTTTTACAATAAGGACTGGCTAGAAATCAGTGCTCTACCCTACTCTACCCTTGACTACTTAAGTCTTTTATAGGGATTCATGATAGCATCCCGCAGAGTACCCTGCACTTAGTGTTTGTGTGTATGTGCAGTTAGCGTCTCACCTTTCCCCAGCCAGAGGACTGCACAAAAGCAGCAGCAGCAAAGCAACCCCTGTAGCAGTGGCCAGGATTGAGCGCATCCAGAAACTCAGCTGACAGAAGTTACAAAACTGGATGATGGCCAGGATGGTGGCACAGCACAGGAACGCGGTCACCTGAGGAAAAACAAAAGCTAGTTATTCGAATGTCTTAGCAAATACAACAGCAACAAAGAATTCTTGCACATTCAACTGAAGCGTGTGCTATAAAAACACCTACTAAGCACGTAGTGATGTAATGATGTAATACTGGCTACTCCTCAGCTGTAAAATCCAGGTTTTCTGTTTAAGCACTTAGTGGTTATGTTGTGTAACACAAGTGCATCATACTACATCTTTCACCACCAGAGCCAAAGCCAGCATGTTGTAGCCCAAAGACAATCCATAGGCTTATTGAATAAAATATGATAAAAGCTTGAAGGTTTTTGGATCAAAGTACTACAGTTCAGTTCAGATAACTGCAACATGAAAGTGCCTTAAGATGATTACCCTTGTGAATTATTGCTACATAAATAAAATTGAATTAATTAGCTTCCCATTTCCCCCACGGCAAACGTTTTTCTCTACAGTTCTTGTTGCCATTTCCTTGGTATTTCCCTGGATTGTGTCAGCAAAACTGCAATATTATATCCTAAAATGTCAAGAGCAATTCAGGGAATAAGTGCACACACACACTTTCAGTTTTCAGGACTAGCTCTATAATTTCATGGAACATTTTTTTAAATTAATGAATCATTTTATTTGTTTATTGTCACAAATAGACCTTTACGACAATCAAAGGGATTCTATTTTGCTCATTTCCAATTTTCTCCGTATTTTGTTCTTGGACCTTTCTATAGTATCTTTGCATGATTCTGATTTTAAAATGATCCTTATTCATCTTAACCTGGGCTGTGGTGCGACACCTCACTTCATGCACATTGTGAAGCAAGATTTTTTTTGCACCTCTTCCTTTAAACTAGCTTTCTTCCCATTGGCTGGTCATTGCAAACGATTAGAACAGCAGGCGGGTGGAGCTGTGGTGCTGCTGCATTCCCAGCCTAAGGTGGCATTATTAGGAATATCCTGTCACTGACTTCTTCTGAGCCAAGAGCAGGAAAATTTTTAAAATAAAATTTAAAAAATGCTTCCTGCTGGATGCACCTTAATTTGAAAATCCCAGGCGATTTTGAGAAAAGTTGACTCAAACTTGTTTGAGATTTTTAGTAGGTGCACCTAAGGGATGAATTTAAAAATCCTACATCACCTCAATCTTGAGTTGTCATATTCACAAACTTGGGTACCAACACTAACAATACCCCATCAACCTTTTAAGATTGAGGGGTAAAAACTGTCTACAACAGTGTTTAGTGCAGTCTGAAACCTGCACTTTGGCTTGAAGGGATTACTTCTATATATAGCATGAAAATAACTGGATGGATTTCAAAACAATGCTGTCAAAATGAGTTTTTCACCAATGTTGAAGATTTAGCACTGAACAAACTGTAGTGTGTTCAATCTCAAATTGAAATCCACCACGTGAGCAAGTGTTGGGCCATCTACACTAAAGCAGAGTCATGCTGGAAGAGAAAACCTAAGCACAGTCCAAAATGTGTTGGTAAGCTGAGGCATATTAAGAGTCCCCTTCGCTGGAACGTTCCAGACTCACTCGTCAGACAGAGTGCCAGATAGAGAAGCATGATTTGTCACCCTACAGAACATGTTTCCACTGCTCAGGAGTCCAGTGGTGGCTTTCTTTATGCCACTTGGTGCTGTAAAGCCTGCATGTAGCTGAACAGCCATGGAAACGCATGCAGTGAAACTCCCGGCACACAGTTTTTGTGCTGATGTTGATAAGTCTGCAGCACTCAGCAACCCTGCTCTTCAACTTTACATGGTCTGCCACTTCATGACTGAGTTGCTGTGGTTCCTAAACACTTCCACTTCACAATAATAATACCACTTAAAGTTCATCATATAATGTCTAAGAGGACAGAAATTTCACAAACTGACTTGTTGCAACAGCAGCATGCTATTACAGTGCCACGCTTGAATTCAGGGAGCTTTTCACAGCAGCACAGTCTTTCACAAATGTTTGCCAAAGCAGGTTACATGGCCAGGGGCTTGATTTTCTACACCTGTGGTAATGGGCCTGAAATAGCTGAAGCCAGTGATTAGGAGGTGTGGCCCAGTACTTTTGTTCATAAGGTTTAGCTTTGTAAAGGGATCCTTGACCCAATAAAGTGAGCTGTTTTGTCATAGTTTTGCGGAAATGTCTTAGTGGTCTAAGCCTGAATTTCAAAAGCAACATAAATGAAATATAATGTGATTTGTAAAAGTCTAAAACATAGTGATTTAGGCTCTTAGAAACACGCAGAGCTCTTTTCATGCAAAAACATGCAGACAGCAAAATGAATTTGGGGACATTTTCACGCTGTTAACGATTACATTGACAAGATAAGATCTTTTCCCAGCTCATCACTACACATGTCCTCCCCTCTCCCTGTCATGCCCTTCCACCCCACAACCCTCACTCAGCACTGTTATTGGGCCTTAACATCTTCAAAGGCATTAAAGTCCAGAAAACTGCATGTCTAATTAGCAACTCTCCCTGAGACTGTCGCTTTGATCTGCGAGCCCTGAAGCGATGGCGAGAGCTGAGGCGAGAGAGTGAGCAGGGTGGGAGAGAAATGGATAAAGACATCAGGTGTTGGAAAAACAAGATATGAAACCAATGCACATCTTGCAAGCAGCCGTTGGCTCCAACATGAAAGACGAGACTCGTACGTATACAGAGCTGGAAATGCACTTGACTTAAAACACCGCAAAACAAGCGCAACTCAATCTTCACACATGCAGGACTCAAAGAAGAAAAGTCGACATTTCTGGTGCCAAAATCCATGCGTGTTCATTCTAGTGGTCCTATAACGGGTTAACACCAGCTAATGAGCTGTTTTAGACCATGATGAGTTTCAAATCAGCTTAGAGATAACAGTCAGAGTAAACCATTACAGCTACAAAGGATACTTCCAAAAGCAGGGACAACAGAGGCACAGTAGTTGCAGTTAAATCAGCAGCAATACAAGTACTATTAGTCCCAGCATGGCATCTTTAGTAGTAGTCCTGGCAGCAGCGTCAACTGCAATCTCTCTGAATGATACCAAGAAGCAGCAACTATGACGGTGCAAGTTTAGTAGGGTTACATTTTTACTTTAAACTTCTCCTTGAGATACTTTCAGATGAGAAATGTGTGAAATATTTTGAGGCTGTGAACCAAAAGATATTTGGGATGTTTAAGAAGTTTTGTTCAACAGTTTAATTTTAGTGTTTACCTGAGGTTCCGGCTGGACGCCTGAAGTGAGGTGGGACAAGACAGAGATGGCAGGGAGAGAGACCAACACGGCGCCGATCACGTGACGAGAGACCCAGCCAGAAACTACCAGGAGGAGGGAGTGAGTACAGCTCATCACCTCCTCCAAGTAGAAGGCCATGCTGCACGAGAGGAGTGGAGAAGAGAAGGGAATCATTTATTGTCTTAATGAAAATCAGAATGAACAAAAACTTTAACCCATAACTGAAAAATATCAACGTTAGACAGAAAATAAAGTAGAGAAAAACACGCCGCCTCTTCTCCTCTAACTTCCTCAATCCTTGCTCAGTCTGGGAAAAAACTGCAGCAGATTCTCATTACCCTTAATTATGACACATTATTAAAACAATAACACTGTCCAAGTCACAGCAAGAAGATGAAGATTTATTGCCCATTTAGGCAAGACAATAAGTGAAAATTAATTAATCTTTAAATACTCTCCATGCACAGTCATTAAAGTAAGTACCACAAGAAAACACATCCCGAGCACTACTCAGAGTATTGGAAAATCCAAGGATAAGTTTGTTTTTTTTCTCTTTTAGCCTGGTATGAGTTTGTCATTGTGCCGGTTTCTAAGCCAGTAATTGACTGGGGAAATTTATCCGTGGTGTGGAAGCCAAATAAAACATAAAACAGTGTAAAACAATTCATGCTAGTCTCAGTGGAAAGTCACAGTCCTGCATGTTGGTCTATCAGTAGTTTCAGTTCCGTGGCACTGAAGCCCAAGAGATACAGATTTTTATTCGACTGTGACAGCACTCGACTTGAAAACAAACAATTGCGTATTCTTACGCCCAGCTGGAACCGCACCGAGAGCAACGGTATAAATAACACTTGAGCGATTTCGCTATCCCGCCAGGAAAAATAAAATCTGGGGAAAACACTGAGGCCTTGTCATTGTTTCGTAAAAAGGTCAAATGTTGAGACAATGAATGTGTTACGTTATAAAATATGTTATACAAATGTTTTTATTGGCATATCGGTCAAAACATTTTTGATATACAACATGTGTGCACACTCACTAACACCCACAAACACTCTCCATCTGCATCAGCTGCCTAAACATCCTCACCGTATGGAGAGCACCAAGGAGGCCAGCTCAAACAGACCAGCCAGGGGAGCCAAGGCCAGGGCAGCGGTAGCCAGAGTGGATGAGCTCATGAGAGGTGGAAGAAAGCAGGCCAGGGTGAGGGCCAGGAAGACAAAACAGCTGAGGAGGACATCCAATAAGGAGCTGAAGGTAGTGCTTGCAAACGTCTGCACCGGAACCATGTTTCTGACCTAAATGGGAAGAGTAATTGCAATTGCTCATTTTTACAGAAACTACACCCACACCTTGCAATGCACACATAAATGTATGGATGTTTTACAATCAGGTCTAAAATGTGTAAATCTAAATGCAAAACAAAGTACAGACACAATGAAACCTCCAAAATATTTATTTTACCTTTTTTTAGCAGTCGTATCCAGATCTGTGTTGCTTTTACGTGGTTTCCTAATCTGATTTAACTTAAAAAAAGGTTACTGCCTTCTGTAAACTGCCAGATTATTTTTAAATTAATCACACTTCTTCAGTGGGTGTTAAAAAAACCCCAACTAAATCCTATTTTCATCCTTAAAGGGGGGGTGCAAAACGACAGTAAAAGCGACAAATAGAAGCTTTTTTACAAATGCAAAAATCCCCTGAATTCTTCCAATCGTTTAACAATTCTTTCTAGACACGAATGCACAAACTAAAACTTGTGCTGCTTTAGCAAATAATAAATATTATATAAATGTTTACATACTGAATATATTTTCACAGCTAAACCCAAAAGTCATAGTCATGTGCAAACTCTTATGATCACATACTGTAGACATTTTGCGTGAAGTGATCCTAGTGTTGTGGGGTTTTTGTTTTTTTGTAGTAACACTGGTTTAACACCAGGTGGCTACAAGACTTTGAGGTCAATGCAGGCCAACTGGAACTGGTCCTGTGTGTGTGTGCCTGTGTGAGAGAGCATGTGGTATAAAATTTCGGAAACAAGAGGGGTACAAGGAAAAACTTACAACAACTCCACCCCATCGGTCAAAGAGACAAGCACGCAGTGACACAGAGAGAATCAAACGCTCTGCCTCAGATTCAAAAGATGCATTAGGACACTACTGTTTGTCATTCGTCTCCTTATTGCCTTCTGCTTTTTAACAGTTCAGGTTTTTGGGTGGTTCTTTTTTTCTTATCCACGTAGGAAGCCCTCTCTTCTGCTGGGTGCTATTTTTAGTTAAGCCTCAAGTTAATCAGCGAAGAGTGTTAAAATCACAATCGCTGGTAGGATCATCAAACAGTTGAGTAGAAAAATGTGTTTGTGTACTTGTGTGTACCTCTTCCTTGTAGCTGCTCCGATAGGCTTTTTCCAGAGGGCTCTTTAGAAAGTTAAGGCTGATCTTATTGATGGGTGGTTTGAAAAAGTAATCCTTCATTAGACTGGAGATCAGAGTAAGGAAAAAAAAATACGACAAAAGGTCAGAAAAAGTCAAATGGTTCACTTATTATTTTATTGTGCGAAAAAAATGCAACAACTTTAACAACTCATCCAGTGATTCAGGAAAAAAAAAAACAAACTGTAAGTCTGAAACAACAGCTCCGACATTAGCATTAAACCCTTGAGTCCTCAAGTAATCATACGATGTTTGCATTTCATCTTTAAGAGCATCCTGAGAACTCTGTGTGTGGAGTTTATGCATTTATCTCTGTGATCTGGCGAGGCGAGCCCTCAGTACAAAGGTTTATTTTTAATAAACCTTTAGAAAATTATGAAAACATGGCATCATATTCAATGCCAAAGTGATAAGGGTGCATAATTAGTCACCCTTATCAGATCATAAATTCCACCTTTAACCACTTTGCTCACCTGTCCTCCCCTATAACATCCACGAAATGGGCATCGCTCTTCTGTCTGTAGTTCTTGGCACGCAACTGTATCAAGGCAGAGTGATCCATGCCTGTACCTGCTGCCCCCGTGCCCCCGGCCATGCCGAGACTGGTGCCAGTTCCCGTGTCACATAGAGAACTCTGACTGGCCCGCACTGGTTCCTCCAGCGGTGGACTCAGCAGGCCGTTGACTGCCTTGGGGCTGTGACCTGGGATAAACTGTGATGAGTAGATGAGATAAAGGCGATGACAAAGACAGAGGGACCAGAGTCAGAGGAGAAACGACGGAGGTGAAAAAGAAGAAAGGACACAAAAAGCGATAAGCACGGGGCATGACTGTCAAGTAGCTTTAGAGACAAATGCTTAATCGAGTGCTTGACAAGTGCACCGATGCTGTCGTTGCTCGTGTGTGCGTGTTGTACCTTGGCACTGCTAGTCTTGTGCTCTTCCTGGCAGCCATTCAGCACAGCCACATCATCACCCTGCTCTGCCACTGAAGACAGGACCGTGTTATGAAACACACAGGGAGGCTGGAGAGAGAAAAAGACAGCAGGGGGAGATTTTGACAAATTAAACATATCATACAGAAGCGGCTTGTGCAACAACAGCATCAGATTATATATGATGGAGCTGTGCGCACTGGTATGTTTTAAGTTTAAGTAAAAGTGAAATGATGAGCTGGAGTTTTTCAGTTTTATAATAAATCCCCCTAATAATTAAGACTTAGCAATGAATGTGAGACAAAATAACTCTGTGTGAGTCACACAATGGTAAATGGCCTGTATTTGTATAGCGCTTTACTAGTCCGACCGAGACTGTCCAAGCCGGGGCTCGAACCAGCAACCTTCCGATTACAAGGCGAACTCCCAACTCTTGAGCCACAATCGCCCCTGTTCAAAATGAGCTTCCCTTCATCACTCACTGGTTCAATAATGCACCAAAAGTACGGGGTGGGCCATTTATATGGATACATCGTAATAACATGGGAATGGTTGGTGATATTAAAGTCCTGTTTGTGGCACATTAGTATATGTGAGGGGGAAACTCCTCAAGATGGGTGGTAACCATGGTGGCCATTTAGAAGTC